GCCCCCCCAGTCTACTTCATCTTCAAAGGAAACTGGCTGGTTTTCCAAACAATCCAAGGACTTCAGTCATATTCCAATTATCAAAAATGAAATCCCACCTAGTCTAATTAAAATAATAGGCAGGACTATCAAAAAAGTGCATACATACTGATAGGATCACATTCAATTCAGATTATTTAAATTATTGACCAGGGAATACAATGTACCAGCACTATAACATTTATAAAAACAATGAAAGTACAAAACTACAGAAACAGTAGAAAGACTCACAAGCAGGTGTAATATGCAAAATTTAACTCCTTTTAAACACAGCTATACTTCCAGTGATTGTGTTCTCAACACCTTACCCAGTTCAGAGTCCTGAAGAAATAAATATGAGTGTGTACATGTTAAGTACCTGTGTAAGTGGCTATTGACAGATTAAGGCCTGAATTCAGGCAAGTCAAACCAGCATAATGTGGCAGGAAACAATCAGGGAATTAACACTAGTAAGAAAGCATAAGTACTGTTGGGAGAGGAAACAGCATTTAAGGTAAACAATGACACCTTAAGGACTCTGCCTATAGAGAAAAGATGACCAAAAAGCCCATCATGGAAAAAATAGCCAAAAAATAAGGTGAGAGAACAAAGAAGCACAAAGAAAGCCAGTAATCAAGCAGAAATTAGATTATACACAATCATGAATTTGCTGTTGACAATTACACATGCAGTTGAAAGAGAGTGATCACATTAGGATGAAGAAAAATTAAGACAACAAAAATATTATTGCTAGCAAAAGCAAAGACACCAAACACACAAAAGTTACAGGAATCAAGATGAAAGCAACAAGTGCTAGATAAGCATTTCAAGCCTATACGTAAGCAAGACAATTTTGAGACTACTTTGAAGAAAGAAATTTTAGAAAACCCATACTACTTATGGAAGAGTTCAGCAATAGCAGAATTGTAAACATTGTTGGTGGAGAAGGTTTAAGAACAAATCCAAAACAGGCAGGCCACGGAAGGAAAAATTACTTTTGGAGGTAAACTAAATAAGACACAAGATGGACCAAAAAATACTAGGCTGGATCAAGTTCAGTAAGAAAAGGATAAATAGACAGGAAACAAATGCAGCAAACATGAATGAAACACTAGAAATATGTAAGGGCAAAGAAAGAAGAAGAGAGTGAGAAAATAAGTTTGGTTTGCTTTCTTTTTTTTTTTCTTTTTTAAATTGAAGACATGAGACGACCATGTTATGAAAATACAGAAGAAAAATCCAAGCGAGGTTTGTTAATTAGTAAGACATAAGAAATACCCCTTTGACTTTGCTAAGTGGTGACTGTTTGAGTGGGTTCAGTTAAGTGTAAAAAGAAAACTAGTCTGGAAGATTAAGAAACAGATTGTATGGGTAAGCAGTGTATCAGTACTCAAGTCAAAGAGAAGGCAACCGTTAGAAAGGATCACAAGGATTTCAGGCAAACACCCTAAGGTAGGAGGGCAATTGGCCTAACTTCAGAGCAAAATGTAGCAAAGCCATTGGAGGAAAAGTATGTAAAGAAGGAGGATGCTGAGTATGACTGAAAATGAAAAGGATGAAGGACAGGTTTGTAGATGAAAAAGGCAGATAAAGGAAGTTTCAGAATCATGAAAGGAAAGATTTTTAAGTTTAAGAAAAAAGTTATGATAAATCTCACAGGTACTGATACTATACAAGTAATAGCACAGAAATATCAAATGTTTTTCATTTATAGCTATTAGATTAACTAGAACAAAATAAATAAGCTAGAATAAAGCCTTTATAGCACGCCGTCCTACATAATTCTCAGTTTGCAGGCAGTGGGGCATCACCACATGCGAGTTTCTAGTTTTAAGCTAGTAAGCCCTATGTTTTACTTCATGTCCTCTCATGCAAGGAATGAAGAAACAGTATTTAAACACAAAACAGGGTTAAGAACTTGCCTCTGTAATATCTGATCATTGTGCAAGGACGCACACTGTCCATCTGCAACTTATACTACACATTTTTCTGCTTCTAAACACACTCCCTCTATTCCAGCAGTCATATCTGTTCATGCTTTGGTTCCTCTTCAGACTTGCCCTGAGCACTGTATGTCTGGTACTTTAATATACAGCAATCTAGATAAGGAACGAACAGAGCAGATAGATTGAGACTATAACCAAGAATCCTTTAAGCATCCCTATAAAGTCTAAAGTTTGGCTTTTCTGAGGACTTCTATTAAGCATTCCAATATACAATACCCCTAACATAGTGCTCCTCAAATTTAACTTTAAACTTGAAAAAAAGTTTTTGCTCCTCTCCTGATGTTTAGAACATTTTTAAACAGAGCTGAGACACATCAAATATTTGCATTACTCATCTCGCTCTCCTTGCAGACACATCTCTTTAGTTTCAGTTCTGCTGATGCTACTTTTAATTACTCTTCTGCAAAACCTGAACAAGCTCCACCGAACAGCAGTGTCTGAAGCAGGAAGCACAGCTGACCATCAACAATACAGCAAGACTGGCAATACAGAAAGCGCTATGAAAATGCATTAGGTAAACACAGTACTTATTTCCTAACTAAACTGCTCTCCAACACAGGCTTTTGCAGGATTTTTTCCTCCGAGTTGATTAATTTCCCCTGAAAGAAATAAAGGTAAGGCATGTTATTTTTCTGAAAACTTCTGAGGATGCTATAATTACTTTTATAAAGGTTAAAATCCAGCCTCCTCAGAGATCTGCTGTAAGTCCTAATGAACATTTTTGATACTGTAATTGTAGCCTGAAATAAGAGTTAGGCAGGCAGTTCAAGCTCCCAAGCAAATAGGAAGGATACCTGAACTTTTTTTTTATTCCAGATCTGTAGAGAAATAAAAGGCTGAAACGTGATTTAAAAGCACTATTAAAAATAAGTAAGGAAAATTCCATTTAATTCTAGTAAAAGATACCACTCAAATAAGAAGAAAAGCTATAAACGATCCCAAGTAAAAAAAGATGTTTCTCCTTTTTCATTAAAGAACTGCAACAGTAAATAGATACTGCTAACTACAGAACTATCACAAGAACAAACTATACAGTACCCTGAGGTCGAGAGCTAGGAACCGGTCGAGAAAAGACAGTTTAAGCAGGCAGTGGAATACCAAAGGAAAGGGAAGCTTTAACACTGTTGAATCTCAAAGGCATACCCAGTAGCTTCAAAGCTTTCAACTGGAAAAAACAGACAGCTATATGCATGACAGCACACAGAAAACAGTTCACAATGTTTACATAAATACAAAATTATCTACATATTAATACTAGAATATTTAATACGCTTGCAACAGTCACCAGATCCAAGAGAAAAAAAACGTCACAGCAGGACATATTGCTGTCAAATAGAGGGTGGAGGGAGGATACTGCATCTTGTGCACTAGCTGCAAAACTACTTATGAAAGATGAATCCACCACACGTAAGGTTGTTTCCTGATCAGTTTGCTGCCTGCAAACATGTTCTCACTGAGCAGTCATTTACTGGTAGCATCGGCTACAGGAGAGCATAAACTGAATCAAAGCCAGACAAAAAAGGAAAACTGATCGTGAAATCCTCATCAGTTTTGCAGTAGATGAGGCTCAGCATATAAGAAGTTTCTTGAGCTATAACAAGAACTTGACTAAATTTTTAGCTGAGCCTGCCAAAAGAACAGAAAGGAAAAAAAAATAAGTGTGAAAGTATTTGTTTTCATCTTTAAGATAGAAGACAGGAAATATGCAGATGCAAAGAGGAGTTGATACAGAAAGAAAAAGCAGCCCCTAAAATGGCTGCAAAAAAGTGCACCTAACATGCATGGTACAAAAAAAAAAAACAACAAACCCAAAAAAACCGTTAACCCAAATAACTTGTCTCTTCAGAAAGGAACTAACATGCTGAACTACATTTTGGTAGCCCATAAAGTTATTATGAAATCAGCTTTTTTGCCAACTATTTTGTAAAAATATGGAAGACGCAGTAAGTTGTGAGATGGGGAAAAAAGATACACAAGCATATGCAAATGAGAGTTCATATAATGTTTGCATTTACTTTCTTTCAAGCTATTAAGTGAAAAAGAACCATCTAATAAAACTAATCAACCATAAATACCAATCACAACAATGAAAGACATGGAGAAAACAATTCCCTACAAAATAATCTACCTTCAACTCCCTCCCTCTCATCCATCCCTGGTCTTGAGGGAAAAGAGCAGTTATTTCTTCATTATTTTATGAAACAACGTTAACTACTTTTCAGGTTGCTTAGTAGGATCTAACCTACCTAACCTAAATAAAGGTAAAACTTTGATGCAAAAACAGCAAGATCAATGTTATCTCCTTCCTAGAGAGTCAGAACTTGCAACAGCTTAACCAAGACACATTTGAAAAGTACGCTAAGTTTTTTTTACTTCTTGGTCGACCCCCTCTTAATAGAAATTATGCTAATAATAGTCCTCTCATAAAAGAGTAACGCATGTATTCCTTATATGGCATAACAATACTAGGACAGTCTTAGCTGTTTGGTGGGGGTTTTAATTATTAACTAGAAACAAAAAGAAAAGCTAGTATCATGCAAGTCTGCAGGCCTGCGGTACATTTCTGTAGCCACAATTGGTCCTTTCATTACAGCTGACTATACTGTTCCAAGAATACTCCTTAACAGTAGTAAGCATAAACTAGTAAAAACCTAAGATATCAGTGACAATCACTGAAAGGAAAAAACATACTTCTCCATATTGTGAAAACTAATTCTTGCAGAAAATTTACTACTACATCTTCTTTTACTAGATTTCACAAGCAAGAAAGTAACAGGAGAGTTCACTCCTTTTAAATTAAAAGCTTCTATCTTGGGAGTTAGCAAAATTTCTTTGTGCGTAATTGCAAGCATCTAACATGGAGCTTTGTCACTGTACCAAACTTCCCGGCATATTCCAGTCACATGTTGTTATTACTAGCAGTCTGTTACAAAACAACTGTTGCCATCAGCAGGACATGGTAGTGTTATACCATACCTTCTGGTATACTATAGAGCACACGAGGTCTTTAACAGCAGAGAGGGACAGGTCCTGAGCTTCAATGGTGACAGTCTCTCGAGTGAGACCAATCTGCAGAAGGAAGGAGACCCCATGCATAGAGCCCCGGGAGTTGGTGAGGCTCTGGGTACTGAAACTGCCATTGGAGAGTCGACTGGAGAGCCCCGACTGGGGACTTGAAGACAAAGTTGGGGTTTGTGGTGCAGCAGCATGACACGTAGGCGGGGAAAACTTCTGTAAGGATGGGGGAGAAGAGTTGTTTGCTGACATCTGACTTGCTTTACTCTGTCGAGATCTGCCTAGTAGTCAAATTCTAAGAAAAATATGTTGTCAGTTCTTGGTTTGAAATGAAAACAAGGATAACGTAACTTTCCCTTTCTTAGTTCAGTAAAATGCCCCTGACCAGTAAAACTTAATTTTCCCTTTCATTCTGTGCAAGCCAAAGAGTAAAATAATTTCAGCTGTAAGTTACTTTAAATTAAAGGTTCTCTTTCCACAGTTACAATCAGCTGATCAAAAGCAGATTGCCTGTCCTTTAGCACCGCGTCTGGACAACAGAGGCTTACATAAAGGCCTCACAGAAATACATCAGCTCTGCTGTTTTATACTTGTCCTTCATTTTTATGTATTTAAAAAAAAAAAAAGCTGGAAATACAGATGGAAATAAATGTTGGTAACTCATTAAAAGTATCCTCGTTCACCTAATTCCACAGATCATGTCTTAAACGCAGACTCATCTTCATGTAGACAGCCTTTTAGAATGAAAAAAGTGTATCCTTGAGCAACAACAGAAGTCCACGTATGTGATGAATCTATTCCTCCTTCAGAAAGTCTTCTCTGAATTCACAGGACATGGTTAACTTGGAGATCAGTGAAGGTATCTAATTTCATTTTCATAAAATATTTTAGCTCATGAAATGCAGGAGCAGAATGTCTGAAGACACAATCACGTTAAATGTAATCTCTAGCTTCACCCAGATAATCTCCAGCATTTTGAAACGTTGTACTCTGCCTGTAGGGGAAAAGATAAAGTTGTCATTTTGCATTAAATGCATAAAATTGCATAGCAATGTCATAACCACTCTACTTTGAAGCAGCAGGATCACCAATTCCTTGTACTCAAATAAGTTATGTTAGTAACATTCTGTACTTGAATTTAACTGTTTTCCCACTGTACGATACACAAGACAAATCAGACCTAACACTGCCCAGTACGTTACCACATTTTTTAATTAACGGTACTTTAGCAGAGCAAAGCACTTAACAGTTAAGGGGGGGGGGGAAGAAAAAAAAAAAAAGGGGG